TACCCCTTTTCTTGTAATTCCTAATTTTTTATACATATTAGTGCTTTTCAAACTTTTTTTAAATTTCAACCCACAGTAAATAATTTTTTTACATCGTGACCCATTGTGAACACACACAGGCACACATATACACACAGATATATATCTGTTATATCCTTATATACATACATATATGAAAAAAAGGTCCCGAAACATGAGATGCATTCTAATGTTTTCTAGTCTGTTTCTATTTAGATGTGTTTAAATGTCACAAACCACAAAGGATTATATGGCCTCAAATGCTGTTCATCCTACAATTTGAAAAATATTGTGCTATAAACACCAGTTTTAAAATGACTATAAAAGTGTCCTGATACATTGTATCCAAAAGACCCTTAGTCTAATGCAGTGATTCTCAACAGAGAGCGATTTTGTCTCTCAGAGGACATGTGGCATTGTCTAGAGACATCATTGATTGACTTACAACACTGATTGTGTTGGGGAGGGAGGCAGTTAGGGATGCTGCTAAACATTTAATAATGTACAGGACAGCCCTCCACAATAATTAGCAGTCGAAAACATCAGTAGTGCCAAGGTTGGAAAACCCTGCTCTAAGGGTAATAAAATGAGTTGACACTTCTAATCTACTGTAGATCTGTTTAGAATAATAGAAGCTTTAACCTGACCATCCTTTTTTCTTTCTTTGAACTGTATTTGGTACCTTACCATGAAGTTGAAACGTAATTGCCCTTGGGTTGTCTACAGAGGTACAGCCCAGGGGATAAAAATGGTGCAAGGAATGACTGTCTGTTATTTTCTTTGCAGACTGCACCAGGCATTTTCGTTAGAATATTGTCATTGCTCTTAGGAATATTTTCTGTGTTATGATTTCACTATCCTTGTCCCCGATCTTCTCCATTAAGCCATACTTACCCAGGGCCCTTCCTCACTCAGCCATAGCGGCTCTTAAAAAAGAAGTGAAGGAAATCTGGCTAATTAGATTAGACATGGTCTTTAAATCTTTCTCCCCTACTTATGAGATTTAATTCTGCTGTTTTGATGGGAACTGACCTTCCACTAACCTTGAAGTGCCATCTTAAGCCTAGTATTAAACTGTTTCATTTTTTAGCCACTGCTTCATTCTTCTATCTATAGCTATTTCAAACCAGGTTCTTTTGAACATGGATGAGACATGCACTCCCAGTATAATGGAAAGCCTTAATCTCCACATCCTCACTCCTTCCATGTTTGGCATCAGAGAAGCTCTTGAATGTCTCAGTGTCAATCTGTTGTTTTTTTCTCACTTTGTTGCCTATTTCTAGACCTACTAGTAAGGCTTTCATTTGCTCTGAGTCATTCAGAGATGGCCTGACCGAACAGACCCGGTTTGGGTTTTTTTCTTCTTCTTTTCTTTGGGGAAAAAGGTAGGATAGTATGAGGAAATATCCCTAAATGAAATATTAGAACTGGAATAGTAGTAGAAAAGAAAACCAATGCTATTTGAGGCTCTTCTCTGCCATATTTATTTTAGTGTATTTACCTCATGTGTCTCGTATTACATAAACAATAGCATTTGTATTTACTAAATGATTCCTTATAAATAATTCATAATAAATTATAAGAGGAGTGTGTGTGTGTGTGTGTGTGTGTGTGTCTACCTTGAAACTCTAGATTTCTTTTAGCATAATAGATTCCAGAAACTGATACTGGAAAGCTCCTGTGATACATTGGACTTCAGACACATAAAGTTCATTCCTTTCGCTTCAAGATAACTATAAGGACACAGATTTCTTTTTAACCTTCTCACTCCTATATTAAGAATAGAAAGACAACATGTGGAATAGAGAGATCAAGAGAATTAATGAGGAGGAGTTAAGACATCTGTCTCTCTGTGATACTACAAAGCCTAATCTCGCTTTCCCTA